TCCTGCTGCTTTCCCAGGTGCATTAGAAAACAGCTGGATTGAAAGTGGAACAGCTGGGGGCTTGAACTCGTGCCACAGGGGATGACAGCAATGGATGCAATGGCTTAACAAACTATGCCATAACACTGGCCCCTGCCATCTTTTCTTTAATTTGTATTAAAACATGCTTATCATTAAATTTACTATCTTAACCATATTTAAATGTAGAGTTCACTGATTTAAGTGTGTTCATGTTGCTGTGCAACTGATCTCCAGAACTTTTTCTTTTTAATCTTGGAAAGCTCATTAAACAAGTCACCATTTCCCCCATCCTCCAGCCTTTGTGTAAATTGCTACTAACAATGACAGCTGTGAACTCTTCTCGAATTTTATTCAAAGTCCTTTCACCTTTCGTATCCATGATGGGCAACTTTGATCATTCCTTGGCCTTCAGACTCCCCTGTCAGCTGCATTACAGGACACCTCCACGTCCCAGCTGTGCCTTCTATCCCAGCCCTCTGGAAAATTTCAAAATCAATAATTGTAATGACAGCTCCTCCCACCTTGTAGATTTTTCTACATTTTGGTGTTGGCTTTTCTTGTTTATCTTCTACCTGAATCACACTTCATTTTTGCAACATTGATCAATGTCTCCTCTTAGTGAAGCCTCTGAGATGGGAATTAATTTCCCCATGCCATGTGTTCCTGTGGCTTTTTAGCTTGAGCCTTTCTATATCTTTTCTGTCACTTTCTGTGCAGCTAGCTTCTCATGCTTGCCTCTTTCTGTGATTTGTAAATGCTCTCAGGCCAAGCTTCATGCCCCCTCTGCTTTCCCAGAGCACTCTGCTTGGTACAATTCCCTGTGAGAAGTGTGTGCATACTAGACCATTGACTGAACAAGTAAACCAAATGTATATGGGACTTGTTCCAGGGGAGAGTGCAGCAAAAATCAAAGCAGATGGAAACCATGGGAGGAAGAAGCACAGTCTTGGATCATATTGTGGTGGAGAGGATGTAGTAGCATATGATGCAGAATCTTCAAGCTGAATAACTTTTTAAATATTATATTGCATTGACACGTAAATAACAGTAGGTTATTTAACAGAACTAGAGTATTAATGCACAGCCAACTAACCTTTATTTTTGTTTTTACAAAACTAATCTTGGAGCGTTTTTTACAAGTTAAGTTCTAGAGGCTGTTCATGGAATTTAACGTTATTCTAAAGAATCATTTTATAGGAAAATACTGAATAAAAAGTATTTTTTTAATGTTTCAATATTACCTGTTAGATTTTAGGGTTAAGTAATTCCTGATTGTTTTCTTTGTTTCCTTTTTTTTCTTTTTTTCCTTTTTTTTTCTTATTGATTGCATTGCATTATGTGACACAATTTTTTAGGCTCTGGGCTCCCCAACCCCTCCCCCATGGTGGATTCCTCCACCTTGTTGCATTACCACAGTTCAAATTCAGTTGAGATTCTTTCATTGCAAGCATCTACCAAGCATAAAGTCCAGCATCTTGTTGTCCAGATAAGTTCATTGGTTTCTTGGGGAGACCATCTCTGGTCTGAAGGTAGAGCCTGCAGAGTATCATCCCGATCAATGATCAATTATTTTCTTAGATTGTATCCAGAATTTAACCATTTCACATTACCTTCAACATGAACATGATGATACAAGCTACTGTTACTTCTCTCTTAGAATTTTGTAGTTATCTGTTAAGTTCCTACTACAAATAAGACACCTTCTTCCTGCTCTTCCTGGCCATACAGTTCTGTTTACACCAGGTGTCATAACCTCCCATGACTTACTCTTTCATATAAAATGAAACTCAAACCCTTCAAATGGTTTCTGTTCCCTCCATGCCATGGGCCACATCTCTGACCTTGTCTCCTGTCATTGTTCCCGCTGATGTAATTTCAGCTATGCTGTCCTTCTTACCACTTTTAACACATACGAAGTATGTTCCTGCCTCAGGACCTTTGCATTTGCTGTTCTCTCAACCGTGTACTTCCTTACCTGAGATCCACATCATTAACTGCAGCTTCTGATTACATGTTGTCTATTACAAAAGTCCTAAGCACCTGTGTAAAATGGCTAACTGCCTAAGTGCCTGACTTCTGCTGCACACTTATAATAATAATACACAAGGATATTTTAAAGTGTTCATAGAATATTGCATTACAGCAGTCATTATTTTGGACACCATGCCTGAAGCCCAAGTATAAAAGAGATTATAGAAAGTAGGAAATCTGCAAGAATTGTTTTTTTTAAAATTGCAGCACAAAAAAATTATTAATAATTTCATCTTTCCTTGAACTTTTTTTAAGTATCTTTTATTTTTTTGGAAGATTTATTTATTTTTATTGTAAAGTCAGATATACAGAGGGGAGGAGAGTCAGAGAGGAAGATCTGGAGCTGAGCCAATCCCAAGCCAGGAGCCAGGAGCTTCTTCCAGGTCTCCCACATGGGTGCAGAGTACCAAGGCTTTGGGCCGTCTTCAACTGCTTTCCCAGGCCACAGACAGGGAGCTGAATGGGAAGTGGAGCTGCCAGGATATGAACCGGCACCCATATGGGATTCCGGTGCATGGAAGGCGAGGACTATAACCACTACACTATCACGCCGGGCCCCTATTTATTTATTTATTTTGAAACTCAGAGTTACAGAGAGACAGGGAGATAGAAGGGGAGAAGGGGAGAGGAAGAGAGAGAGATCTTTTATTTACTAGTTTACCTCCCAGATGATTGCAGGGACCCCCTCTTGGCCAGCTAGGAGCTTCACCTGAGCTTCCCATGTTGGTGGCAGGGGCCCAACCACTTAGACCATCTTTCACTGTTCTCAGGCCATTAACAGGGAGCTGGATCCAAGGTGGAACAGCTAGAACACAAATCACTGGGCACATGGAATGCCAGCATCACAGACTGCAACTTGATCTACTCCACCACAATGCTGGCCCAACCATGAACTTGTTGAACTATTCTCATATACATACATATACACATATGCAGTTTATTGATTTTCCTGCCTCTTTGACATACCTAAACTTCGGTCTCAAGAGAAAAAAGTATTTTATTTCATTCATGCTATATTCTCAGAATTTAGCATAATCTCTGGAATATGATAGATGTTCACTAAATATTTGCCTAGCAATTAGATGACTAAAATGCAAGGTATAAAGATTTGAACCTATGTGCTATGAAAAATCATTCAGCAAATATTGTGTTCAACTCTGTCTACGTATAGGGTCTGCTCTGAGGTTGTTCATGGTCAAAGAGTGACTTGGCTGTAGCTGGTCCACCCAAGCTTATATGGTTCAGGTGGATGTTGGGTTTTCCTTGCTCAGACTCTGTAAGGAGGTGTTAGTGTCATTGCTGCTAATATGTCTTGCCTGCAGGCCGGACATGGTGGCCTAGCAGCTAAAGTCCTTACCTAGAACCCGACAAGATCCCATATGGGTGCCGGTTCTAATCCTGGCAGCCCTGCTTCCCATCCAGCTCCCTGCTTGTGGCCTGGGAAAGCAATCGAGGACAGCCCAAAGCCTTGGGACCCTGCACCCATGTGGGAGAGCTAGAGGAAGTTCTTGGTTTCTGGCTTGGGATCAGCACAGCACCAGCCATTGTGGTCACTTGGGGAGTGAAACATTGAACAGAAAATCTTCCTCTCTGTCTCTCCTCCCCTCTGTATATCTGACTTTCCAATAAAAATAAATAAATCTTTTAAAAAAAATATGTCTAGCCTGCCATCTGTAAGTATGTGTTTCTTGACAAATGCCTTGTTGATGAATTTACACAGGAGAAGGCAGTGCAGTTCTGGAAAGTTAGCTGACAAGGGCAGCATCCCCTAGCTCCTGTGTCTTCACATTTGAAATGTAGAGTTAGAAAATAAGAGCAATATGTGCTATACAGTCTCAATTTAAGAATTCTCCTGTATTCTACACAGTAATTTATAGTTTGTTTTATGCGATACATTTTTTCCTTTTTTATTGATACCTTATCAGATAATTAAAATTATGCATAATGCTAAATTATTACTTGGGCTTAAACTCTTCACCAGGAATTACTGGCAAACAGAAACTTCTCATGAATTGGTACTCACTCATTTTCTCAACCTACGATTGGAAGCTATAAGGAAATAAATTTATCACATAAGGTTGCCATATGTCAAAGTGCAAAGGAGGATTTACTTGGGCAATCAATACCTTCATCTTCTTGAAAAACGTGAGGACCCAGCAGTATCCCATGACTGGACAGCGCCGAAATGTATTGCAGTATTGGAATCCAAAGTACAATTCACACTGTCTTCCCAACATAATTTTAGTGTTTCATTTTTGTTAGTTTCGAACTGTTCCTTTCTTTAAAAAAAAAAAAAAGGTTTATTTATTTATGTGTTTTGAAATTTTTTCAGAGAGAAAGGAAGAAAGAGAGAAAGAGATCTGCCACCTTTTGATTCACCTTTCGGGTGGCTGTCATAGCCAGCTCTAGACCAGGCTGAACCAGGAGCTAGACGCATCATCTGGGTCTCCTACCTGGGTGGCATGTGGGACCGCAGTACTCAATTGGCCCTCACAAATAGGCTATCTTTGCCTGCTTTTTTTCCAATTCCTTAGTAGCTAGTTGGACTGGAACTCGAGCAACCAGGACACAAAAGCTCACTCACATGGAATGTCGCATTCATTACACACTATGACACAACAGTGGTCCACAAAATTTCATTTTTAAACATTTTAATAGAAATCAAAATTATTTTAGTTAGTTCTCACTTTTGAAAAATGGGTAAGAAGAGTTCACCTCATGCTGGCTTCCTTAGTGTGATCCTTAAACTTGCATCTTGTGGACATACTGTATGGTAGAGGATGTTATATGTGATAGGCTGTCATATTTTAGAATGTTTATTTAAGGAATTATATATTTTTTAAGTAAATTTCTTTCTGTGATGTTTTACTTACCTGTGGAGGAGTATGTTCACAAGACAGAAGAGTATTATCTAATGAATGTAAAAATTTCAAATATTTCCTCCGTAGACACTAATATCTGGAGCCGTAGTAGAACAGCTGGACTTCCTACGAATCAGCGAATCCGAAGAGTAAGCCCCTTTGAACTACGTGGTTATCTCATTACCTTGAATCACGTTAGGAAAGCAGGAAATCTGAAATGTTCTTTTTCATTTCCAGACTTCCAGAATTTAAGAGTTTTGAGGAACTAGAACCTCCCAAGCATTCCAAAGTCAAACGACAAAGCAGCACCTCCAATGCTCCTGAACACGAAGAGCAGCCAGACGTCTGCGTCGCTGAATGGAGAAACAGACCCACCAATGAAATCCTTCAGAAACTGAATGTAAGGAAAACGCAGTCTCCCGAGGCTCTCACTGAGCTTGTGCTGGAAGTCACTCCCGGAGGGCGGGTCGTGTGTCTTCCTGGCCTCTCTGTGCGGGCGGCAGGTAATCTGGAGATGGACGCTGTGTCTAGCCCTCGCGCAGGGGTGAGAGGTTGTGCCTTTGTTCCTTTGATCTGACATGAACGTGAGCATCCTGATGATGGTGAAAGAGTGCAAATGAACGGCACTACCTTGGAAATGAACATAGTGTACGAAGCATGAAGCGAGCGAGGGCTCTGATGCTTGCCTTGGGGGCCTCCACTTTGCTGTTTCACTGCCCTCTCCCTCCGTGGTTCACCACGTCTTCTATGCTGCCCTGCGATTTCATTCCAGTGCTTGCTTGGAGTCTCCTCTGTGGCTGAGGAGAGCAGGTCTCACACTGCATTTCGCCAACGTTTTCGAGCTTAGTATTTCACCTTTCCTAAGGTTACATTTTTTTAATCGACAAGATGTAGGAGCAGAATGGAGTACTTCTCCAGGAGATGAAATTGCACCGGCACATCTATAAATATCCTAACACTTTTTGAGACACACAAATGAAAGTATGTAGACCAAATATAAACCCTTTTAGATGGTCTTATTGATCAGTACTGTATAGATCCACGTGAATATGACAGACAGCATATGGTAAATGCCATAGACATTGTACATGTGTGCCCTCCCACACTCAGCCCTGCACAGGAAGGGTGACAGCGATGTCTTCCTCCGCCCCAAGGAAGCAGAGTTAAGAGGAGGATGGTTAAGTGACTGGACCCCCAGTCTCCCGGAGAGTCGCAGGATCAATATCAGTGTGCGTGGACAGCTGGCTTTGTGTTCACAGCTTATCTTGTTTTTTGGTAATTCTGATTATTAAGTTCAGCTGCCCCGGGAAGCTGGCTTGTCTAACCTCTGTCTCCATGATATCTAAGAGAAATTGTATAATATCTTGTGTTTGGTATTATTCTCAATGACATTTTCTCTCCAGTTTCTTAGCGGTGTTATTTCCTCTCCACCTCGTATGGTTTTGGGATCAGTTACCCCCTGTGGTCATTCTTGTACTCATTTCATTCCTGTTCCTCACAGTGATTTATCTTTTCAGGATTGCAGTTGTCTGGCTAGCCAAACCATCCTGCTGGGTATACTGCTCAAAAGAGAGGGCCCGAACTTCATCACAAAAGAAGGTAGGAGCCCATGTCCAGGAGAGCAAATTAAATAATGGCACCTCTTTATTCTTAACCATACATCACATATGTCTAAAGAATACCTACTAAGATGTTCTAGGTCATTTCCTCCCATGAAATGTTCTGTTTGTTTTCCTTGGGCATCCAAGTGGAAAGCGTTCATCCCTATCCCTGGAGTGGAATAGACTGTTAGATGGTGAACCCCTAAAGGGCGCTCCCGCAGTGGGGCCTGATTGCTTCTCGGGTTGTCTCAACAGTGCAGGAGCCTCGTTCTGGCCTGTGACTGTTCACCTCCAGTGACTCCACAGTTGCTTGTTGACAGTTTGGGTTGCCAGTTTTATTATTTTTTCTAACTTTTCAAGAATTATATTGAATTGATAGGTCTATAGAAATTAGCTACCTTGTGAGCTACAGCAGCCGTTCAGGAAGAAACATGACATTTGACTGCATTGTGCTCCGGTTAGTTTGTTTTGTTTTGTTTTCTTTAGATTTATTTATTTTTATTGGAAAGTCAGATATACAGAGAGGAGGAGAGACAGAGAGGAAGATCTTCTGTCCGTTGATTCAGTCCCCAAATGGCAGCAATGGCTGGAGCTGAGCAATCTGAAGCCAGGAGCCTGGAGTCTCTTCCAGGTCTCCCACATGGGTGCAGGGTCCCAAGGCTTTGGGCCGTCCTCGACTGCTTTCCCAGGCCATAAGCAGAGAGCTGGATGGGAAACAGAGCTGCAGGGATTAGAACCAGCACCCATTTGGGATGCCGGTACATTCAAGCCTCTAGGCTACTGCGCCGGGTTCTTTGGTTAGTTTTAATAAAAATAAATCCTTTCTTATCATATCTAGTCTACTCTGAATTAAGAGTGAACCCCTACTATCCCTGCAATCTACACTTGTTTATCAAGGCATCACTGGAAAGAGTAATTTCTGTATCACAATCTGCTGCTTCATTTTATACTACAGAATAATATAGGAAATATTTCAGGTACTTAAGGTAACTGCTTAAAAGCCGCTCGCTTCATTAGAGGATAACTGTTCATAGGTGTGTTTCTGATTGATTGGAATTGGGAATTGAGTTAATACCCTAAACAGCAGTGTAATTAATGATATTCACAGTCCTGTTAATGAACTACATGTAATTATTTTTTAAAAAAAAAAGTCTACTTATATTTTGCATTATTTTAGCTGATAACTTTCTTGAGTATTATTAAGAAAAATCCCTCTAGAATTCTTCCTAGCCTTAATCAGTAAGTGTACACAGAATTTTAACATTTTGTTAGGAGCCTGACATTTGGAATAATTATTTTAGTAGTGTTATTAAATGAAGCAAAATTTTATGAAATAGTTTATAATGAAAATAGGGACAGAATTGTTTTAAACTATTTATTTAAATGGCAGAGTTACAGAAAGAGAAAAACAACACACAAATACACACACACACACACACACACACACACACACACACACACACCAGGGAGGGAGAGAGAAAGAGAAATCCATTTGTTGCTTCACTCACCAAGGGTCACTGTGGCCATGCTGGGCCAGGCTGAAGCCCGCAACGAGGAGCTTCAACTAAATTTCCTTTGTGGGTCCAGGGACCCAGACCTTAGGATCACCTCCCACTGCATTTCTCAGGCCGTGATCAGGGAGCATCATCCAAAGCAAAGCGTCAGGAACCTGCACTGCTGCCCCATGTGCTTTGCTGGTCTCACAGATAGCAGCCTCTGTTTTATTTATTTATTTTTAAATTTTTTGTTATTATTTTTAATATTTTATCATATAGTTCCATAGGTTCCTGGGATTTCCCTTATCCCCTCTGCAATTCCCTCCTCCCCCAACTGAATTCCTCTATATCATTAGTAAAGTATAGTTCTTCATAAACAGTCATATATCCATCATTGCGGGCATGGACAATGGCAGAGAGTCCAGAATCCTATTGTCAAGATATAGTAAACAGTTTCATTGTAAGTCCATCTTTGTCTGGAAGCAGAAATGCATACCACACTGCATCCTCACATCTGGATGTTAGTCTCCATTTCACAGCTACTATACATCCCCCTAAATGAAAAGTCACAATACAAATCAACAATAGAAAGAAAAATAGAAATTTACAATGCCATGAAGTTAAATGGCATGTTACTAGATATGACTCTCCATTACACAGCTACTATCTATCCCCTTATATGAAGAGCCACAAAACAAAATCAACATCAGGAAGAAAAAAGAAATTAACAACACTATGACGTTATAAAACATGCTACCTAGTGACTAATGTGTCACTGAAGAAGTGAAAAAGCAAATGAAAAAACTTGTTGAAGAAAACAATGCTACTGTATGATCTATGAATCATTGAATGATTTAATCAGAAGAAAGTGTTTTGAAGAGATGAAACTAATAAAAACAAAAACATCAAAATCTAGAAGATATAGTTTCCGAATTTTTGTTGGTGAAATGTGTCTCTTCTAGTCAACAAATAGATGGTTTTGTTTTTAATCCAGGCTACTAATCTGTGACATTTGATTGAGCTTAAGCCATTTACATTCAGAGTTTAATATACATGGGTGGTACTTTGGTCCTGTGATTTTAGGAATGGGTTGTTCATTGGTTTAGTCTTCTGTTGTCATTTTACTGGGATGTTCTTCCCATTTGCCTTGGTTTTGCTTGGTGCTATTCCTCTTCTCTGTCAAGAGAACATCTTGAAGTATCCTTTGTAGGGCAGGTTTGGAAGAGGCAAATTCTTTTAGCTTTTCTTTACTCTGGAAGAATTTTATTTCATTTTTCAAAGACAAAAGAAAGCTTTGCTGGATATGTTATCCTAGGCCAACAATTTTTTTCTTTTGGAATCTAGAATATGTCACTCCATTCTCTTCTTGCCTGTAGAGTTTCCTGTGAGAGATCTCCTGTGAGTTTAATTGAATTCCTTTATATGTCAGTTGATTTTTTTCACATGCACATTTAAGGATCTTTTCCTTATGTTCAATTGAAGAAACTTTGATGATCACATGTCTTGGTGAAGATCGCTTTTGATCAAGCCTGTTGGGAATTCTGTGCCCCTCCTGGATGTTGCTTCCCAATTCTTTCTCCAGATTAGGGAAATTTTCCCTTATTATTTCATTAAATACATTTGCAAACTTAGCTTCTCTTTCTGCACCTTCTGATACTCCCATAACTCTTATATTTGGCCTCTTAATAGTGTCTTTGAATTCTTAAATAATTTTTTTTTACCTGATCCAGCTCTGCTTCCAGCTTTTTGTTTGCTTCCCCCTGATGACAGGAAATATCTTCCACTTCTGAGATTCTTTCTTCTGCTTGCTTCATTCTACATTGGAGACTCTCCACTGTACTTTTCATTTGCTCTGTTGTGTTCTTAATTTCTGATATACCAGCCTTGATTTGCTTTATTGCTTCCTTAAATTCTTTGAACTCTTGCATGTGCTTCTTATTGTTGATCAGAAGCTTTAAAATTAGTTTTCTGAATTCTGTGTCCCCCATTTTCTCAATGTCTTCCTCAGTTAACTCTGAGGTTGGCATAGGGTTTTGCTCCTTTGCAGGGGAGTTTTCAGTAATATTCATTGTACCTTTGTCCTTTTTTGCTCTTGGGCATTGCACTTCTGGTTAATAGAGTCTTCTCCTTGAGGCGGGTTTCTAAGCTGTGTCACCCACAGGACTACAGTTTGATTTTACTTATAGCAATTGGTACACGGCTCTTTGCTTGAATCCGATTTTGCTACTCCCTACAGCAAGTTCCAGATCTGGGTTCTTATGTTAGATTTATACCATGGTTTCCGTAGCCTCAGGTTCTGGCTCACCACTCTCCACCCCCTGTCGTACCATGCTGAGGTTGCACCATTGTCTGTACAAACTCTCTCCCACTTGTGATTCAAGTAGGTCCCAGGATGAGGGAGATACCAGGTGTCCTATATAGCTAGGTTGTTGCTGGTGCTAATCTTGCTGGAACCTGTTGGCCATTAGGCCTGGGTGCCACACAGACCTATTTTGACTTGCACGATGCCACAGTCTGTATTATTTTCCTGTGGAACCAGTGCAATCCACTGGTGAGTTTTCCCTGAGCTCAGCACATGCACAGTTCACTGTTGTCCCCTGTAGTCCTAAAGCTGTTGCCACAGTGAATAATATGGCACCTGACATACCACTGTTAGAGTTCTTTATCTGCTGGGCATCAGTCTTGGGTGGAATCTGTAGAATGCCATGTTGCTGCAGTTCACTGAGTCAGAAATGAGTTCACTCCCAGCTCAGCATATGCTCAGTCCTTTCCTTTGCCTTTGCCTCCTTACGCAATATGGTGTCCAATTTGGCAGTAGGGTGCTGACTGGACTGTGAAATCCACCCTGTTCTTGCACTGCCCATTGATACTTGCCACTGTCTCTGCTCCTGGTCAAATCAAATGGACCAGCAGGACGGACAGTTCTTTGTCTGGGTTTACTTCCCATGCTCCAAGTGAAAGTTCCTTCCCACCTGGTTGCTGTTGGTGTTTCAGCTGCTGGTGGAATTCAGATCGCTGTTCGCTGAATGCCCCTGGAGTATCAGTCACTGCAACACCACAGTGTTGTTTTCACTGCTATCCTGTATTGTCAGTCTCCAGGTACCCCTCTGCTGTTGTTCTGTCCTTTCCTATTTCCTGAAATGTGTTCTCTGTCCGTTCATCCTGATTAAATATTTCTCTGTCCGTTTAAATGTATCCTTACCCTATTTCGCCATCTTGATTCTCTGCAGCCTCTGTTTTGCACCATTTTATAACCTTGAAAGTAATGCTTATCTTTCACTTAGATATTTGCAAGATTTTAAATATTTTAGGTTAAGTACTAATATAATATTATTTTGTTTTTCTTTAAGACCATAAAAATAAGTTCCGGGTAAAATATTGAAGACCTTGTTCTGCACCCTGAGCTCCTTTTGGGTGCTCTGTTCTGTTCCTTGTTGATTTACTGACAAACACTCATTATGCCAGATGGCTTCTAAATTGCAGCCAAGAAATGAAACCCAAAGAGGACCTCAGTAAAGTTTCATTGAGCAATTAAATGAAAAGTTGTATATATTCAGAGTTTATAGTATTTATTCAGTTTGCTAATGATTTTGCTATGTTCTGTTTTTCTATTCTATAGTAAAATATCATTGTGTCTGTTTAAATCTAACATTACATATTAATAAAACAAATGAACTTTAAAAATTAAAATATTCAATGCCATATATTCGGACGGAGTAGTAACAATGAGAAAATTCATATTAATATATCAAGTAGCTTAGAATATTAATAGCTATAATATATTGATACATATGATATATATAAATATATAATATATGTAGAATTATATATGTGTGTGTGTATATATATATATCAGCTTTAGTGAAACAAAAAATCCAGAATGAGTTTTTAATGAGAAATAAATGTTATGCATTTAAAAAGCTTTCTTCAAAAAAGACTCTGTTATCCAATGTCTAGGTACCGTTTCTGATCACATCGAGAGAGTCTATAGAAGAGCTGGCAGCAAAAAGCTTTGGTTTGTACTGGTATCCTTGTCATTATGTTGTATGTGTGTGTTGCTATTTTCAATGGCTTAACGATAATGAACCAATCCTATTAATGTTTCTACATTCTGATGATGCTTATTCATTTATTTTTAAACTCCAAGTTTACAGCATTACCACTGTCTAATTTCTAAGGATATACCTACGTTCCAGTATTGCTTGGCTCTCTCAAGAAGTTAAAGCAAAATGTCTGGGAATGAAGACCTTTTTGTGTGTGCATGTGGAGTTTCCACTAGGATGGTATATTAATGACTCTGACTGCTCTTCCTGTTGCAGCAAGGTACTGCTGTAGGTTCCACTTAGTGTTTAGGAAACCTGTTCTGTTATTAGAGGAGAAAGCCTTGAAAAAAGACTAGTGGATTATTGAATCATAAGCAAAAGTAATGTACCTTGAAGGTAAAATTCTGCCATCTTTAAATTAAATGAATTTCAGTGATTATAATTGTTTCATGAAAAATAGTCAATTTACTCAACAGTGATAGTATCTTCTCTGGCTTTAAAAAAAAAAAGCTATAGGCCAGTTTAGGCAAATATCCGCAAATGAGGTAGATATAAGCCTCAACACATAACCTTGTGTGTTTTTTAAAAGATTAATTTTTATCGGAAAGGCAGATTTACAGAGAGAATGAGAGACAGAGAGAATGAGAGGCAAAGAGAAAGACCTTCCATCTACTTCTGTATTTTTGTGTAATCCTAACAATTTCACTCGTAGAATCTGACAAATTTTGAAAGTAAGGTGTTTATGCATTTACATATATATGTGTGTATATGTGTGTGTGTTTATTTTGAGACACAGATAGAGAGATCTCTGATCTGTTGGTTCGCTCTTCAAACATCTGCAGTGCCTAGGAGAGTCGTAGTGAGTGGCTGAGTCCAGTCCAGTGCATTGACTGTACCATCTTCGCTGCTGCCCAGATAGAGTCTGGAACCAGAGGCACACATTGAGCTCAGGCACTCCCGTGTGCAGGTGTCCTAACCAGTAACTTAAACAATAGGCCAAATGCTTGTGCACGTGTGTATGTGTTGGGTATGTGTACATATGTATTAAATGTATTTGCATTTCAATAATCCATATTATCTAGATTTTAAATTATTTAGCTTCAGGAAGTGTAAGCAACCTCACTGAATCTCAAATTTCTAGTTTCTAAAACGAAAGCGTTACAACACTCCCTACTAGTAGTAATTCAGCTCTCTGGTTAACAAGCGATTCCTACACAGAGGAAGTAATGTAATAATCTTCTTGATTAAGTCTCTCAGATGTTTACTATAAATTCTTAAACAAGGGAGGTATGCAATCCAATAGGTGCTTCTTTGTCGCCAGTAAATTGCAAGTGTGATCTGTAGTCTTATTTCTGGCCACGTTTATGTATAATATTTTCATTTTGGATAAATCATGAAGTGACAGAGAATGCTGATTGTTACATTTCAAACAACAAACTCCTGGAAGTTTTATTTATTCTATTTTCCCTTTTATGGCTCTCTATTGACACACCCAGGTTGGCGGTACGCTACGGGGCTGCATTTACCCAGAAATTTTCTTCCTCTATAGCCCCACACATTACTACTTTTCTGGTACATGGGAAACAGGTAACATGCACAGAATTTGGTAACTCAGGCTGCTTGAAACGTGTGAGCTTTTTTGTGCTTTGAAGGTTAAACATGTCTATTGGTCTTAAGTGTGTGGGTGAAAGCTTCTCTCGTCATAGGAAGTAAATGTCTCACTAATTTTATCAGTTATTTTCTTAATTTTCTGCTAGCCTATCCATGTTGAAACTAAGAACTATAAATGCCGTTTATGGGATAAAATTTCTCCTGCTTTCATGGCTACCCTGGAAATTTAAAAATTTTGCAACTGGTTGCTACTGTGTTTTATTTTCCCCTGTCTAAATGTTCCACATGAATTTTTAGTTTTGGTTAAAAAAAAAAAACTATGTATTGCATGTGCTGTACTTTAAGAAAAAAAATCTGTTCTTCCTAAATTCTAAGATTTTTTCAGAAGTGTGAAAATAGCAGTGTTAATTCCTTTTCCCAACATTCTGGCTGATATTATCAAGAAAAAAAAATGTTGGTATTTCATTGTAGCACTTCTGAAAATTCAACACTGAGTCCTCTAATCCAAAAATTTTGTTCTCTGGGCACCAGAAAAAACATGATTTAAAGTGGTTATAAGACTAGACCGCATGTACCTGAGACAGAATTCATTAATAATGAATTGAAAATACAAAATTGGAATAGATTTAAATCCTTTCCATTCCTCCTACCCTGCCCATTAGAAAGAACAATTGAATTCTACTTGCTTTCTTTTCAGTTGATAATAGTATACCAGTATGACATTTGGCACAGCCCGATGATGGCATAAGTGAGTTAGGCATGCCGCCCTGATTCTGGGTTTAACTTTGGGAAATTTTAGCTGTTACATCCAATGTCTTGTTTCCCTCAATGACTACGTCAAGACCCAAGCATGTATATGTTTCAGGCTCCCTAATCAGGGGCCCCATTCATTTATCAGCTTTTAGATTTGTGAACATCTGGCCTGCTCTCTCCTTTACCTCCAGGTCGGTTGTACGGCGTGCAGCAAGTCTTTTAAATAAAGTAGTGGACAGCCTGGCCCCATCCATTACTAATGTTTTAGTGCAGGGCAAGCAGGTAAGTATCTTCTTTCCAGATACTCTCTGAGTCACAATCTCAAAGATTTCTGAGCAGGACCCTGAATTTGAAACCTAGCAGAACTCAGAGTCGTAGGCTGTCACAGGCAGATTAACGGTGGTTCAGTCATTTCTGAAAAGACTCCTGCAAGCAAAAAGTATACGTAGTCTTAAAGATGCACATTTATGAAATGGGCCATTCCTTTTTCCTGCTGCACCTTCGAGCCGTAATTCTCAACTGCCGTTTAACTTCAGATCAGTGCCGATGCTAGTGAAGAAAGTGAATAACCGCTGATGTATTCTAGTCAGGTTTACAAAAGGCCGAGCAAAGACAGGTGACTAGCAAAGGACACATTTCCATCTCCTCCATACAATATCCTCCTTCCCTTCAGAAATATATTGGTTACTCAGCGTCTGTCTGTCCTTGACCCTCTAGACTCTCTCCCCCTGCTCCTTCCCACTCACCAGGGCTATCCACGGTTAGCAGGGCTCTCTGTCTCCTAGGGGCTCTCGTGGGAAACCTGTGACATTTATTCACAATGAGTCTCTATCCTCACGGTACCTGTGAGCCCCGAGAGACCAGGGCCTGTGTGGGTCTTGTCCAGTGCATGCCTCCATGTGCTCTGCATGGGATCTGGCTTGGAGTAGGTACTTAGTGAATGTGAGTTAACTTGGATGTGGCTGCTCACTCTTTGTTCTCGTTTTTCTTAGTTCTGATTACCTGGCTGAATCATCTTTTTATTAGAATGAAAACCGGCTTGCTTTCTTTCTCTTCTTTGAGAACATTTGCTATGTGTTTCATTGTGGTTTTTCTGACAGCTAACCTCAGGATATCATAAGCTTTCGTAGCATAAAGCACTTTAACCTTCTTTAATAGATTCAACCAACTGCTCATATTTTAGTGCTCTTTATTCATAAGGTTGAAATCACTTCATCCTAACATCCAGCTTTTGGAATGTTAGAATAATTAGTTATTTTCCTGTAATGTTTAATAATAATTAAGAAATAATTGTACTAATTTGAAAAACCTCCAAGAAAGTCAAATCATTTTTCATATACTTGTATGTTGTGTTCTCCATATTGTTAAGAGGTAGGATTTCCAGCTAAAAATGGATCAAAGTATAGGAGGTAATGTTTCAAGTGCCTTTCTTCCCTCGAATCCTTACTTACAACTAGTCTTCTATTGTTTTTTTTTCTGGTCCAAGACAGTGTTGAAAGAAAGTTAAGCAAGTTTTAAGAAGCTATTGGTTTTCTTTAGCATAGGTCCCGGTAGTATATTTGCAAGGTGTTAGTTCTGCTATGTTTGAACCGTGAGGGCTTTGCAGACCTTTGCGGTCACTGGCACCCGATCCTGGAAGCAAGTGAATTAAGATGGCCACATCCATCCTGCACTAAAGGAATTTTGCAACTCCTGGTTCTCAGATTCTATCCCTCTGCCTAGAAATTCCAGGGCCTACCCTGTAGCTATCACTGGCCCACTGCCCTTCAGACTAACATGTCTTCCAGGGCAACAGTCATAGATTCGGTAGCCCAAGGGCCCACAGCACCACTTCATGAAAAGACGTGAGAATGGTACATTCCAAGTTTGGATTTTTTTGCTTTAGGAGAAACTGTCCCAAAACAAAAGTAATATTGTTTCTACCACACACTAAAGTCATCTCAAGTTCTCTGATATGAAAGAATACTTTAGATCATGGCTTCCACATGCCAAACGGTTCTTCTTTACGTAAAAGTAGTCACATTGGGACTGACTGGTCGATACCATTATGATTTGGTTAACCAACAGTTCTGTTTTCACGTCCTTAAAAATGTGGGACAAAAGACTGCAGATTCTGTCTCTCTTCTCGCCTCTGAAAACTCACATGCCATTTGATATGCTATTCCTTTTCCTACCTGTTATCATCATGCATGGTGCATAAAAAAAGAGATAAGACTGCTGGAGGCAAAATGCCAAAAATAGAGGAAGAAGGAGAGCAGTACTGCTGCCAGCTGTAACGGCACTTTCCACTCTTGAATTTTCTTGGCCATTTCCGTCTGTGCGTTTTTTCTTTGCCAGGCTCCTGGGTTGGCTGTTCATTTCCCTCCACAGGTGAGAGATCTGTCATCACATATGTTAGCCCTCACTGGACGCCTAGCATCGTGCCAGGGAAAGTGAGAGTGCACAAGGACCATGCGACCTTGCACCTGTCTCTGAAAAGGTTACAGAGTTTAAGAGCAAAAGCTTCTGCCTGAATCAATAAAAGCACAGAAAGTTTTTCTCTCAAAAACAAAATCATGTGGATTGTGCAGTAAAATCAAACAATTCAAAATATTCTGGCTTCCCTGAGGGAGTTTCTAGTAATGAGGTCAGTCACAATAGTTATATCTTGATAATTATTTATATCCATTCACCTTCACTCCCTAACTAGGGCCCTCACCTGCCCTTACATTCTAGTCCAGACTGTGAAACCATCAGGAACTCCACCGAGAGTCATTCTTTGAAAGCTATTTTTAATAAATAGCAAGAACAGTTATTCCACCTAATTCCCTAGCTTATACGGAGTAATTTCAGCCTGCCAGTCATTCTGAGCCTTGATTTTTTTTTCTTTTGTCCCCTGGTAGCTAGATTTTTTAATAATAAAATTCTGCCACTCACAGGTAACTCTGGGTGCCTTTGGACATGAAGAAGAAGTTATCTCTAATCCTTTGTCTCCAAGAGTAATTAAGAACATCATCTATTATAAGTGTAACACCCATGATGAAAGAGAAGCAGTCATCCAACAAGAACTGGTCATCCATATTGGTTGGATCATCTCTAATAACCCGGAATTATTCAGTGGCATGCTGAAAATTCGAATCGGGTGAGTAAAACACTTTACATTTGCTTTAAGAGAACTGTTCGGGTTGTCCTCCAACGCCTCGACCTCTCCGAGGGGAGCAATGCTCCAGATTTCCGGTGTGTGTTTAGGAAAGCATATTCTCTTAGCCATGGAGGGAGGCAGCATCTGGTACTGTGAAGAAATAAATGCTGGCAGCCTAAAGGAATCCTCATGTTTGTTTAAACTCCCAAGCTAGACATAGCAAAGGAACTGTATTCTCTGGCAAAATCAAACTAGATTTTTCAACAACTGCATCATGTAAAAGATTAAGGACAATAGTTTTTAAATTTCTGTAAATAAAATGGATGAGGCTTTTGAGAAAAATGCTTTTCAGTGTAGAAGACGCACTCAGAAACTGCCTTTGCGAGAGCATTGTGCATCCTTATACTACCAAAATGTAATTTTCATCTTTAACAGATCAATTTAGAGAACTTGGAAGTAAGACCCTGGCAATCTTGAATATTCTCATCAAGAACTCGGACAATTAGCATAGTATAAGGCAAGTTGAACAGGCTCTAGCATTCACCTAGAATGCGTTCGAGTCCAGTAGCCTCACTTTGGAAACAGTCTCAGGGTTTCCTGTGAGAATGAAATGACATTACTCCTTTATTCAAATGTCATTTCTCTGAGATAGCTGTCACGTGAAGGTATCCAGTGGTACCGGAGTGTACAAAGAATAACCTAGCACATGGGCAATTTGTGGAGTATCCTCAACTGTTTGAAAATAATATGAATTCTCATCTATTGAGGGCACACTCGGGTGTGCACCTGTGTGTGAGTGACAAGCACATGCAGCTCGCTCACTGTATGTTTGGACTGCAGTGTCTGCTTTCTGTTAATAGAAATCTTAGCAATTGCCTGTTGCAATTTGCGAATTTATCAATTTCTTTTTTTTTTCTTTTTTTTTAATTGTTCCTTACATTGTATTATGTAGTACAGTTTTATAGGCACTGGGGATTCCCCCCACCCGTCCTATACCCCTCCCCCCATGGTGGATTCCTCCACCTTGCTGCATAACCATAGTTCAAGTTCAGTTGAGATTCATTGCTTGCAATCACATGCCTAGCATAAAGTTCAGCGTCTTATTGTCCAGATAAGTTCAGTGGCCTCTTGGGGAGACCTTCTGTGGTCTGAAGATAGGTCTAACAGAGTAAAGATCCGGTCAGTTAAAAGCCCCAACAAGGCCTCAGTATCAATATACAACATTATGGAATTAATTGACATAGTATTGGGTAAACAATATGTTAAAAATAATGCAAGTTCCATTCTTCGAAACATCTGGGTTGAGACAGTATCAATGACAGGTTCAAAAAATAACAAACGACCAAACAAAAAATTACAGGTTAAATCAAGGCAAACATGTGGTATCTAATCCTTTGGGATTCGCTCATTTCCCTTAGCATTATAGTTTCCAGTTGTGCCCATTTAGCCACAAAGAATTTCTTGCATTGTTGTCAAGTTTTTGTTTTGTATAAATTAAAGCTTTTGTCCTTGTTATTTCATTGCTTTTATCAATATATCTTCCTTTGTAGCAGCTATTGCTTTTCTGTTTCTTAAAAAATGTCACAGAAATGAGGAAATGAGTTTCATGAAACCTTGTGTGCCCAGTCTGTGGCCCACCTCTGCCATATCACATGTCAATCATATTTTACCCTAATTGCCACGTATTACACCCCAGCCACACCCTCCTCTAGGTTTTTTTAAAGGTAGTCTCGTTATATCATTAATACTTCAGTATGTATTTCTAAAATTATACTTTTTCAAAGCATAACCATGATGCCATTACATTTTATCTGCAGATACTACCATGCCTGCTTTCTTTGTTCTATTGATGTTTTGTTTTTCCCCTTTATAGTCAGTGTTATTTATAATATTGAATGTGTGTGTCTATACTTGTAAACAGCTTTGCTGTACTTACAGCATAAACTAAGGATGCCTTTTTGGTATTATAAGAAGCAACTTAAAATTTACCATCTAGCCATGTTCAGTTGTACAGCACATTACTAGTAATTGTATGCATATTCCATTTCAGTGGAAGTACATACTTCATATTCATGTCATTTTTTATATTTAACTTACTCCTGCATTTCATATAAAAATTTCAATTTATTGAATTTTTTGTTACTCATTTTATCCTGTTTATTAATTTCCCTTTAATTTCTTAGCTTTAATTTTGCATGGGAATATGAATCAGTTTCAGAAAGTTAATTACCCATTTTTTCCTTTTAAAATTGCATATAAAATTCCTTATTTATTTGGCAGTATCTGTATACCTGTTGTTTGGTTAGTTCTCAGTGTGATAATTTAGTCTTTAATGAACGCACAAGTAGTACATAAAGACACATATTATAACAGTCTTCACTTCAGCCTTGTTTGACATAATGAAATATTGGAAACAACCTAGATATACACATATCTTAAAATGTTTCATGGGAAACAAGATATTACGAAAAATGTGCATAGCTTTCATTTTTTGCACCAAAATAACTACTTTTAAAGTTCATTTTCTCTTTTTCCTCATGGATGTTTTGAAACAATACATATATTAAAAATATTTAAAATATGTATAAAATAGTTAGTTCAGTTGTTTTCTCTAGGAGAATCCTACTTTTTAAGTTTTATTTTTTTCAGTATTGAAAGGCTTACCTTACTGGTTTTTAGACTTTCTGTTTGAGGTAAACCATAGTATTATGTACATATTTCAGGTGAAGTATTCATTTTTTTAATTTCCTCTTTCTTTTCATTGAAAGTGAATTACTATACTTGCATAAAACCTGACCTGCATTTTTATCCCTTAACATCGTTTCTTTCAAAGTTTTAAAATATTCAGACTCCATTTTAGGAAATTAGAATCACAGTTAATTTGTTCATTGTGTTTTCCATAATATTTTCAACTCCAGCCTCATAGCCTACATGTGAAAATACAGACATGAGTTTGATTATGACTTCCAGAGAACTTTTGTTTTTTTCCTTTAGAGTAGTTAGTGTTCCAGTCGGGTGAGCCTCTGCAAGAGATTGTCGTCTCTACAGAGATTTAAACGAAGCCTAAAAATAACTGTTTCCCAAAATTTTACAATGCTATGTAAATCATTTTTTCTATTTTTTTTTTTTTGTCTGTGGAAGTATGGTAGTTTTCCCTCACTGCTTAGTCAGCATTTTAAGCTAATTTAGATCTTATAAATTCCATAGCACCTCCATTCTTGAATTCAGACCTTGCCTAAGCTTCTTACTCTTCATGGGAATATGTGTGTAGCTCATGCTAAGTTTCCTTTCTGGATTTTTATCAGATACTCTATATATTCACTGCCTTTCATCAATAACAGAACAATTTTTCCTTAAATTGTGAGTCACCCAAAATAAAAATATCAGGGTAAAAGCATGTGACTCCGTAATAAACAATAGCAGAAAACTGTGTCATGAACAAATTTCTGTGAAACCTTAATTATTCTCTATTTTGAAACTTGTCCTGAAATTGTGGAATTATATTTCCATTGTTTAGCATATTTTTACCTAACTCAAACTATATCCTCTCTTATAGGTTTTTACAGGTTAGCTCTAATCATTTGAACATTTTCAGTTGGGGAAAGGTCCAATTTTTAAAATAAGAAGTGATTTATTTGGGAAATTCTGCTAAGAATGAGGACTAGCTTTTCTTTTACTTCCTGTATTTACCACAGATTAACTCATCAGAAATGCTCAATAAATGTTTGATTATTTGTTATACTGGTTATAATAAGTAGAATCAAGCAGTTTACCTTGAGTTGGTGATTAGAAATTTAGAAAAACAAAGGATACTGTGTCTTTGTGCTTATTAGAGAGAAACAACAGTTCAATGTGTTAAATATACTTGTTTTTTTATTACATCTCATTGGAATTGGAGAGGCAATAGTATGACCTAGTGGTTGGGACACCACTTGAGATGCATGCATCCTACCCTGGGTTTGCTCCTGCTCTGAGTCCAGCTTCTTACGGATGCAGGCTTGGCGAGGTTAGTGTTTGCCAAAGTAATTGGGTTCCAGCCATCACTGTGTAAGGTCTCGATTGGGTTTCCTGCATCCCAGTTTCTGCCCCCAGGAGAGTGGGCTCATAGGTAAGAGTGACGTCTGTCTTTCAAATGAATAAATATGTAAAAGAAAATTCAGGTCACTTCCTTCAGGATATGACAAATTTATTTTTAAAATTAATTTATTTTTTAAAAATAATCTTACTTAGTTGATTAGGATACAAAGGGTCAAGGGCTACAGGAAAGTGGGTAATACCATTGTTCCCACACTAATATCATTTTTTTCCTTGTATCTGGGGTTTGGGCAGAAACAAAGGGAAAAAGCCCCACCCACCCATCCTCCCACCCATCACAGGTCCCCAATGTGAGGCACGCTCCGAGGGTGCTACTCAAGCCATTTTGATAGTTCAATAGGTCTGAATAGCTGCCAATCTCACTGTTCCAATCACGATGAAACCTACCCAGAATCCCCTGGCTGACATGATTGGGGTTCTGAGATCAGCAGTTCAGTTGGAGGGATCTCCAAAGAGACTTCTTCTGAGATGATTCCAAACCTAATTCTTGTGTGAGCTTGCCAGTATAGGGTCCAGTAGCTTCCGTTGCCCCAATCAGCTTATGCACATGCTGGTCATTGCAATTGCCGAGTCAGTTCTGTTTCCAGCCCTGTCTTCCCCTTGAACCAATGGGTTCTGAGTCCAGCTCGATCCTACCCACTTCATGCTCGACATTCATGCAAACCAGTGAGAGCTGCAGCCTAGTTGGGGCGACTCCCCATAACCCCCACCAGACCTGCCCCCTACCCTGGTTCCCATGCATGCCAGTATGTACCGCAGGCTTGTTGAGTCTATCCCACATCCCATTTAGCTCTGGTACTTGTCAATGGGCAGTGAAGCCTAGTTCAACCCAACCCACCTACTATCCAGTCCACACACATACTGGCAAGTGCCTTTCTGTCTAGCCACCCGTGCCCCTGTCCTGG